CTAAAGTTTCAATTTTTATTTTTTTTAAGTTATGGATTTCCTATCCAAAGTTCATTTTTTTAAGCAATTTGTATAGTTATTATTTAGTAATGAAATCTCATGCATATAAAGATTGAATGTCGGTGCCATTTTAAGACCACAAGTGATATAAGATACTTAAATAGTAATACTTTTAATAAGATTATAACGAAATCTAACAACTTTTTTTGAAAACGAGATCTAAATTTTATAGTATTTAGAAATAAGAAAAAGACGTCAAATCGTATTTGAATTTAGGGATTGAATTATTGAAGAGAAAGTGCAACAACATTCACATGACATGGTAAGTGAAAAGAAGGGAAAGTATAGTCTTTTCTTTGGAAAGATAGTTGTAGTGTTGTAGAGGGTATAGTTGAAACTCCCAAATTTGATGGTTGGTTTTGAAATTTAAATGTTGAGTGTAGAAAGAGAGAAATAAAAGATCCAAAATTGGTTGTACTCAACAACCATAGAGAGCCAAAAAAGTGGGTACCCTCAAATTCTTGGGCTTTTGTTGTGTAGGGATATGCATTTGTACCTTTTCTCTAAAACACACACAACCTGCCAATGCTTTCCTTTGCACATAGGGAATCATGTATCTTATAGGGGACCTTAGCATTTCAATGCTTCAAATTACCTTTTTGTGTATGTATATGTATCATGTGCTTAAATGTGTATAAAAAAGTGTATTTTTTTTTTTAATTTTCATTCATTTTGAAGTACACCAATTTTTGTCCTCCAAGTAGTTTGGATAGGTTTTACATATGGACAAAGGTGGTTTAGATAGAACTTGAAACATAAAAAGAAGTGTACATTTCAAAATTGGGGAGATGAAACAATAATTAAGATTTTAAAAAACATAAGATTAAACTTAAGAGATTTGAGAAAAATATAGAGGGAGAGTTCATACTTATTATTAACAATTTTTTTGTTGATTGGTGATAGATTTGTACTATGAATGAATAAATATTTTAAGAAATGATTACTAAAGAAAAATAATATTAATGAAATATTAACTTAATTTATATATATATATAAAAGATTAACACTATTTCTAATTTTAAATTTTACAAAAATAAATTTGAGTTTTATTTTTTATAATGTTTAATTTTTCCATATTTAATTAATGTGATCATAAATTTATATTTTGATTTTTTATCAGAAATATATATCAAGAATATGAGATAAAATGATTATAAAAATAATTTAACAATAGGTAACACGATAGATTTATCAAATCTCATTATTTTAAATTCTAATACAATACTAGTAAATAAATTTGAGTTTAACTTATTTTCAGGAACCGATTTATAAGATGAACATTGCTCCAGCTAATCTGAAATTGACCTTATGTGATATTTGGAACCGTTATCGATAAAAAAAAGTCTTGTGAAATAAATTGGTATAATGAAGTGATGATTAAGATGTAATTAGAGTGTTAAGATATGATTAAAGAAAAAGGAGAGAAGTCAATGATAAGGAGGAGATGGCCCTGAAGTTGAGGGGGTGGTGGACAATAAGCATATGAGATTGTTTATGGTTGGAGGGTTGAGAAATCCATATAGGACATAAGGGGAGCGGGGAATGAAGGAGACTCCCACAGTGCTGTGGGTCATATTATCATATACTTCTCTTATTATTCCAACAATTTTAAACTAAATCTATTGCTGCACAGTTGGGGTAGTTGAATCCACCCTTTTTCCAATCTCCTTCTCACTGCTTTCACACTTCAATAATTGCACGACCCAACATTTAATACCCAAATCTCAATTACATTACTTTAACTCTCCCAACTAAATACTAAAAACTCCTTTAATACATGTTTCTCCTTATATTCAATCTCACTTTTTTTAATTTCTTTTCTTATTTTAGTATCATTTTATTTCATTGATGTGGTCCTTTTATTAAATTGGTGGACATTGTTTGAAAAATTATCCGATATAAATTTTTTTCATTTCGAGATAAGACCAATTTATAATATATAAGTGAGTGCAAATCTCATATTACAAGCCGGTTTTGTAGGAGTTGAGTTAGATTTAAAGTTCATTTCTTAACATGGTATCAGAACCATTGTTAGAGTGTATCCTAATGATATTTGTTGTTTGCTGGACATATTGTTTCATCCCCTATTAGGCTGCTATCAGACCATCTATTAATATCTAGTCTCACTTTCGAGATGATGTTTATACATCGACGCGAGAAGATGCGTTGGAAATGTTTTACAAGGTTAAATTAGATTTAAAATTTACTTCTTACGATAAATAATTTTTTTAAAATAGAGAATATTTCAAATATGTGGAGATTGACATTAATAATAGTAAAAAGTTAAAGATTGTAAAAAGAATATAATATCTATAAAAGATAATTTATTTGTGATGGTAAGTTAATGTATTAGTTATTGATGCAACTGGGGTTAATTTACGGGGAAGTGAGTTTTGAATTTTTAAGCTAAGAACAGTACTCAGTTAGTAAGTGAGTTTTGAATTCAGATCTCACCGACTTCTAATTAGTCAATGGTTTTGAGATTGGTCAATAAAAATTACTTTGTTTGTTTAGAAGGAGAAGATGGTTTTGCACACACGCAACAACACTTGAATAAATTGTCATTATAAAAGATAGTAGTTAAACCATTCTCTTCACTATCAAAAAAATCTGCACTTGCTTCACATCTCTCTTGATGTGTTGATTTGACCATTTCTTATTAGACTTCAAAATTCCAGCTTATTATTTTACCACAATTTCTGCTTCTTCAAGTTTACTAAAAGGTGATCATTATAAAATTATCTATGGTTAGTATAAAACCACAATATTTGATTTTGTACATTAAAATTAATTTAAAATTTTATTTACTGGATTTGATAGAATTTAGATTTTTTTTTAATTTTCTTTATCTTTCTACCTTGTTTCTAAGATATATCTGCTTATTGTGATATTTTAGAATATACTAGTTTTCTTAATATATTTATTGAATTTAATATATTTTAAAGTACACTGTATAACGATATCAATAATTTCGTAGAGAGTTTAGATTTTGAATCCATAAACTTCCTTACTATACGAATATATTTTCTATTATAAAATTAAATGTCAAATATATTTATAATTTTTAAACTTAGATGTGAATTTGAAGTTCATCTCTTATTAAACTTTGATATATTTTTATTGTTAAATTTTTTTTACAAATAAATAAATATAAGTATCTTAATATAATAATATTTATTTATTTTTAAATATTAAGTAATAATTTATACTGATATTTAAATATTAAGTAAAAATTTAAACTGATATTTAAATTAGAAAATGATAAATATATAGTTAGATTAAATAAATTTAATATAGTTAGATTAAATATTGTTTTTATTCATTTTAAAATTTAAAAACTATATGTATTAAACGTACATAAATAAATTTTAATTTTACATCAAAATTTAAGAACTATAAGTATATTTAATCTTGAAATTATTATTGAAGCATATTATAATAATTAAAAATAATATAAAATTTAAAATTTGATACTTAAAATAAAACTCAAGACTATAAAATAGAAAATTAAGTTTCTATTAAAAAATATATCTTTCACAAATAAATAACTTATACATTAATCACATTAAATATCTTATAATATCGTTATATTAAAATAAAAATTCAAAAATATCTTAACAGTGACATATGCATTAAATCCAAAAAGATTAAATTAAGACTTATATAGAGATAAAGCTTTAATGATTTTTTTTGTAACTTACTTGCTTGGTTACTATTATATATTTTAATCAAAAACACGGTAAATTAAAAAAAAACAGTTATTTTCTAGTTTACTGATTTGTTATCTCCAATTTAAGTACATGCAGGTGAGTTTTAGTTAATATAATAATTCATTCCTTAAATATTTAAACAATTACAACTATATTTGAGTTAATCTTATTAATTTTTTTTTTCTTCTGTAGTATAAATAATTTACTTTCCTTATTCCACCTATTCAATTGACAAAAATGGATATAAATAAACAAAATGTATCATGTTGCTTAATGGGTATTCAATTTGAGAACAAGGAAAATAATCTAAAAATTGGACATTTTATTTATTTTATGTAAAATTTGTTCAAATTAATACATTTTCATTCATTTTCTAAAAGTGGAAATACATTATTAATATGACCAAAAAAGTTACATAATTAGCATGTTTTATAAGGAAAGACAATATCTATGTCATGAATAAAGTGACAAAGACTGGTACTTTTTTATAAGAAAATATTTTTGTAGTGTACATAAAAAGAGGAAACCTTATTTTTTTTTTTAAATCTTAATCATCAATTCAATTGAATTTCTCAACTTATACCATATATATATATAAACACGACTAAAATTCTTACCGATGAAAAATTCTCCACATACTATAATAATGTAAAAAGAAAACGAAAAAAATGTGATTAAAAGAATAAGATAAATTTTAAGTATAATTTTTTAAATGAAAATTTTATGACTATTATAAAGCTAAACCTACTTACATGGATAGAACAAATTCTAAATAACCTAAGTAAACTTCTAAAAATTAAATATTATGACAAAAAAAATATTAAAATAACTCTATGGAACACTATAATATAATTTTGTTTGAAAATTATTGAAAAATAATAATAAATCAATAAATTAACAAATATTAGTTATTATTGAAAAAAAAATCAATCAAATTGTATATATTTTTTAGGAATATCACTTAATAAAATTATAAAAAAAACTCTTAACAAAAAAAACATATTTGAATAATTTTAAATTTTAAATATTTATAAATGGTCAATATAATAACAAAATCATAAGATACATTTTATTTATATCATATCTCATTTATTTCTATGTAAACTTTATAATATATATTAGAATTTTCATTTATAAGTTTTTTATTTTAGTCAATGTGGTACTTGGAAGTCACTCTAGAAAATCTAATTAAATGATACTGTAGGTCTTAAGAGTTTGCAGAGTTTGTACTGTGTTTGTGACTCCCGCTCTCACTGACGCTCTGCTTTTATTACTACTCTAATGTTATTATCTCCCTCTCTCACTCTCTTTTCAATTTCCTGCTTTCTCTCTCACTCTCTCCATCTTTCAATCTCATGAGAGTAGAGTAAGCATAGCTTCCAATTCTGTAACAAACTTCTTCCAGAACCTTCTTTCACTCTTCTCCAGTCCACCACTGTTTCTCACTATTCTCATGCACAGATCTAACCACCATTGCCATCGCTGCGTCTCTTTGTTACAATTTAACCTATCATTTCAAATTCCACGCAATTTTCACTCGCATATAGAATCATCACACTCCGCCGCCTAAATTTCTAGTAATAGATTAGAGCTAGGCTTTTCACCAGGTTTACCAACATCTGTTGTTCTGTTTCTTTTTTTTTTGTTTAAATTATTGGCTTATTTTGATGTTTGTTACGGTGATTTGATTGTGGTTGATTTTTCAGGCTGGTGTTAATCTTCGAGGCATGAAAGATGGATAGAGAGAATGCTGTAATCGGTGTGAGAGACAGTGTTCGAGTGACGCGAGCAATGGCGAGAGCTTTGAGAGAGGTCTCTGCCTCTTCAAGACCATGCTTTAAGAAACAGCGAAGGGTGGAAAAGAGCAGCAGAGCAGCGCTGACAGATGTAACCAATGAATACAGAAAACCGCAGCTCAATAAGTGCGCTGTGCCCAGTTTTCAGGTATATTGAATTGTGGTTTTGGAGTTGCAATTTTGTTTTGTGTGGTCACAGTTGAGGCGGCATACACCCTAAAAGCCTTGGCATTGTTCGCAGTCCCTGATCGTATTTTTAAAACCTATGATCCACTGTTTTTCTTTTTTTATCCTAATTCACATCGACTTCTACAATCGTGCAAAGTCATCCATTGCAACATAAATTCAAATCACATGAACTCTGAAGCGTGCATAATTGGCAGCATTAAAACCACAGCTGGGCCCAACTGCCACTCTTTTTTTTTTTAAATAAATAAATAAATAAAGACTCAAAGTTTGATTTTTCTACTCTTATCTCTTGGTGGTTGAGTGAATGGATAATGTGAGATATTTTAAAGGGCATGGGAAGCATCTGGTGAAGAGGAAAACTATACCTATCTTAAAACAAATATCCAACTTTATAAAGAAAAGGTGCAAGTAAGTGGAATAACTATGTGATTATTTTCTGCATTCACCCATGGTCTAATGCTTTTGAGTTTTATCCTTGTCGAAAATAGTCATTAGAATATTTATTAGAAATATTCTATTTACTTCTGACTAGGTCAGATTAGTTTGAAGTGAACCCTTCAGATATTTGTGGACTGTATTCATGGATCTAAAAAATATAATAATTTCATACCACAATACTTGTAACCACAATGGTTGCGGTTGAAACTGCGATTTTTATAACTATTGATTGTGCACAAGATAGTTTTGAATTTGTAATGCTCCAGTTCTTCTATTTGAAACTATTAATTGTGCATGTGATAGTTTTGAAATTGTAATGTTCCAACACTTTGATTCTTATAAAAACAAATAGCTCAGCGGGGATTGTATGAATTTAAGAATCACTAGATTATAAAAAAATAAACTCTTGGGAAGGTTAATTTTGAGTTGCCTGACACTATATAGACAAGAGGAGGTTATAAGAAGCGAAACACAATGGGAACTTCCAATGTCTCCATACAAGTTTGGTCAACTCAAGATGTTAGAGCAAAGTCAGCAAAAGATTTATCAGCAATATCGATGGTACAGTCACATGAACCTGTTGGTGCTGAAAGGCTGGAAGACAGAGAGCTAGTGCCACCTTCTATGTCTGTCATAGATGGTCCCCAGCTTACAATGCGGGACTCTATGCAGTCTGATGAACTCCTTAGCTCTCCGAACAAAGGTTTTTTTCTATAATTTCGTGTCACTGCTTGTATGCATTTCTGCTGCATTAGACTATAGTTAACTGATTTATGAGATAATGATTGTAAAATTGACATTTATAATGGTACTTGTCTTGTTGGAATGAGGTAACTGTTTCTTGTAACAGTTTCTAGACTTTTCTTCTGTATGTCTTCATTTTTAATTGTTACTCTCATCTATAACTTTTTTTGCAATCTACTAAAGTATCATCTTAAATATTCCACCATATCTATTATTACCTAGAAGCACTGAATGCTATCTGATTACAGGCCTTAATATAGAAGCTATTCATCACTTTACCTGACGGCTATTTATGTATTTTATGCTTATAATATGGATTTAATTTGAATATAAATGGCATTCACTCATAGACTGTCATGCATGGCTATATTGTTGACTATTGTAACGACTACTTTAAGCGTCATACCTAGTGTATTTTTTAATTGGTTGACATCGTAAAAATTTTATACACAGACACCATAAAAAAATTAAACTCTATAGAAGGAACTTCAAGTTCTGAAGAGTTACAATTTATGTGATTGCCCTCATTAAAATTTTTATAAGATAACATGCAAGTTAGCTTTCCATAAATTCGTGATTTCATTAATTGTAAGTTGATTGGATTATGCAGATATTGATATGATTTCAGAGAAACTAAAGCATTCGGATGGTTTGGGCATTGTGGACATTGATTCAGTTGAGTTAAAGGATCCTCAAGTTTGGAGTTCATATGCCCCTGATATATACAATAATATATGTGTCAGAGAGGTTAGTGTGTAGACATGCCTTTGGATTGTTTCTCCTAGTTTAGTGGTGACATTGTAAATAGCTTCTCTTTGTCATCTCTGTTTTTCTTCTATTTCACCAGTGACCGCCGCGGCTTATATTCTTAACAATATAGACTATATGGAACTTCGGAAAAACTGGATAAGTTTCACTGTAAAAAATTGATAATAAATTTTGGTTAAATATTTCCAGTTTGAAAGGAGACTAACCAATTACATGGGCGAGCTGCAGAAAGACATCACTCCAAGCATGCGCGCAATTCTGATTGATTGGCTTGTGGAGGTTAGTCTAGTAGCACTTTTTAAATATTTACTACTTGAAAACTTTAGCTCTTTTCTCTTGTTGTCACTTGTTGCAAATTTCTGTTTGTGTTGCTCAACTGCCTGAATGTAATGTTTGGTCTTTGTATAATTTTGACGGCTGAACTTCTTTAATTGTGCCTCTAGTTTGTTGCAGAGAAGCTTTTAAAATAATCAAACAGTACCAACCTATGTTTTTTTCCTTCACAGTTAAACTTTTCAACACTCTTCAACCGTGTTAGTTTTTCAGTTAACCTCAAATTTATAACCCAAATTTCCTTTTCTTATACATGTAATAGTTTTATAACCTGGTGTTACATTTCTGCACTCAACTTCAATGTCATCTCAAGCATTATCAATTTATCACCGTGCCTTTGGCAATTATGAACATAAAAAAATTGCTAATGCATTCTCATGGAAATCTTTCAATGGAAACAGTTGAATATACAGAGAAGAGCTGAAATTTTATATCTTATTAATTATCCGTGATAAATGCTGTTAGCTGAGTTGCGTGAATCTTTGGCTGCTGAATGGGTTATAGCTGAAGCTTTGTTATATCCTCTTTTCAGGTTTCTGAGGAATATAAGCTAGTTCCAGATACTCTTTACCTTACTGTGAATCTCATTGATCGGTTTCTTTCTCAAAGTTTGATTGAGAAACAAGGACTACAGTTGCTGGGTGTTACTTGCATGCTGATTGCATCGTAAGTACAATACTTTATAAATGTCCAGTTGGACCTGATTAAGTAATATGAAAGTGCTACGTGCTCTTATTTAATCTTTTTTATGCTTCGCTGAACTAGGAACTCTTAATACTGAGACACTTTATAATGAGTTTGGCTTCGCAATATACTTTACATCCTCAATTCAGTGTGACGATGAGTTAATGATTATTACTTATTTGTATATCTTTGAATTTTATTTGTTTTTTCATTAACAGGTTTCACATGGTCTAAATTTTATTCTTGTTATTCTCTGATAATGTTAACAAGGTTGTATGTAAATTGTGGTTGGATTTTCGTTAATAAATCTGCAAATCACAGCGAATGTGTAAGGTGTGCTTGTGCTGGGATTGAGTCCTACAATGAAAATATAGAATTATAGTGAGGTATATAGAGCCTTGCCTTGAGTCCCAATTGGAAAGGTAGAACTCTAGAGTGCGGTTTATTATGTATTTGGGCTCTAAGAAAAAAAATCGATATTTGGTATGTGATTCTCGCTGGGATTATAATCATTTTGGAAAGAGGTGCCATTTGTCTTGCTTTACTTTGCTATTTTTACATTGCAGTGGAGAGTTTGAATGTAGTAAAATTACTGTATTATAATTTATTCTAGACGATGTTGATCTTGAATGCTGTTGGTGAATCTGACTGGGACAACCGATAATATAAGATATGATCTCAAATTTTTCGGAAGTTATGAGGAAATTCTAAATTGCTTGTCGTGTTATTTTTTTCATGGCTTTTCAAGAAAGTATGAAGAGATTTGTGCTCCTCGAGTGGAAGAATTTTGCTTCATCACAGATAATACGTACTCAAAAGCAGAGGTATAACACTTGGTAGTATTTTTGTGACCTTCGTCTTTTCAATTTGTATTAATTACGGCTGATAGTGACATAAAACAACAAATCGTTGGCACTTGATAGGTATTGAAAATGGAGAGTGAGGTTCTAAATCTGTTGCATTTTCAATTATCTGTTCCCACCACTAAAACATTTCTCAGGTGCGTATTATATGTGCAATTCCGATCAAATGCTCACTAAGCATATCTCAAGAGCCGATGTCATGAGCATGCATTTAGCAGATGATATAGTATGGGTTTTCTTTTCACGTTTCTCACTTTTCTAGCTATGTTGCATGTCAATTATACTCTCACGTTAGTAATTGAATGGACTCGAACACACTAATACTTGTGGTTGAAGAGTTTAGAGAAAATATATGGGAAGTTAGAAATGTGAAGATAAGCTTTGGAAGTACATGATATTGTTAAATAGAAATAAAACAGTAGTCAAGCTTAATGGGAAATTTTAATGCAAGGTGATGAGTTCTAATAAAAACACCCTGGATGTATGTAACAAAAATTTGGGTAGTAAAAGCCAACGAGGATGAACTCGATGTAGTAGAATTGAAAATGTTGCTTGGATGAGCATATGTACTAAACAAGATATGGTAAAGAATGAAACATTATAAAGTTGGGTTAGCATTGAAGAGGTATATCTTGTGGAGGATGACTCAATCACAATAGCAAACGGAGACAAAAATATATGAAAAATCATTAAGAAACACTTTACAGGAGATAAATAATTTGTCTATAAATATGATTTATAATAGAACATGAAGTCATTTGATTCACATAGCCGACCCCGCGCCATGGAGGCGGCTTAGTTATTATTGTTGTGTACTTGCGTTGTTTGTCATTTAGTTAAAGTTTAACTGCCATGATCATCTTGTCTGGCTTTCAGGAGGTTCATCCTAGCAGCACAATATTCTTTTAAGGTACCGTAGACTGCAGTTGCAATTAAACATCCACAATTTAACTTTTTATTATGCTTAAAAGAAGGGTAACAAACAAAACCCATTGTGTTGTAAATTTTCCATGTTATACAGGTTTCTTACGTTGAAGTGGAATTTCTGGCAAATTATTTAGCAGAACTCACTCTTGTTGAATACAGCTTCTCGCAGTTCCGACCATCCATGATAGCTGCGTCTGCTGTTTTACTAGCCAGATGGACCCTCAACCAGTCAGAATATCCATGGGTCTGTACTTTAATATGACTATTTGATGTTGCAAATTTACCTTATTGTTTGGATGTAAATAAATCTAAATTAAAGACTCACCTTGGCATCTACTTTCAGAATTCAACCATGGAACACTATACGAATTACAAAGTGTCAGAACTTAAAACTACTGTCCTTGCACTGGCAGATTTGCAACTTAATACCAAAGGCTGTCCTCTGAATGCTATACGTGAAAAATATAAACAGCAGAAGGTAGAGATATACGAAGGCAAAAGATGAACTTGTCACGTTCTTTACATTTATTTGTTTTACTTTCTTTTAACCCACTCCTTCTGATTAAAAAACAAGTGAGTATTAGCCCAATGAAGATCCTGACAGTGAATCTTGCTTTCCTTTGACAGTTCATGAATGTGGCAAATTTGTCTCCAAAACCAGTGCAGACACTTTTTGAGACTAAGTATAAAGTTGTAAATGATGGCATCTCCGAAGACTAAATATTGACTTTTGGAATTTCATATGTGTATTACCTTTGGTTGTAATTATTTGTTTGATCATCTAATTCCCAATTGCAGTCTGATTGATAGCTGTAACTTGTAGGAAGGTACCCAACTCTGGTACTTGCATATTGTTATTGTACTGAAAAATTGTTACATCAGGATACAATTAAAACAGAGAATCATAGTTAGAGGCATCAATTTTAAACTTCATTTTCAGGCAACAAGCTTTGTAAGTACTTCATTATCAGGCAACAAGCTTTGCAATTGCTTCATGCGTAGTTTTGTTTGTCTTTGCAAGTGTTTCATGCGTAGTTTTGTGTCTTTGCAAGTGCTTCATGCGTAGTTTTGTGTCGTACCAACCGTCTGCCGTAACAAAAATTGTCTAAAACTGGTTTACGTTTATTTTACACGACAGAATCCTTTTTGAAAGTGCATCAAAATCTTACTAAAGATATAAGATCAGACACACTAAATCTTATTAGATCATTTATGTTCTTTAAACAATACGAAAATATTTTTCTAATTAAGGATATAATAAAATTTATTATCTAAATTGGATAATTAAATACTCGGGACTGTTCTGGAGAAAGTAACCATCCATCAATTTGCATTTTCAAAAAGAAAATTACAGAATCCAAGGACGGAACTGTTCAATTTTTGTTATTTTAACTAGCTAGTACTTAATCTCGGGTGTGCTTGTTGGCCATGATAGTTAATACAGGAGAGCTTGAGTCCTTGATTTGGGATGAAGACTTGTGCCTGGTGACTGTAATGTAAAGTACAAGCACGACATACACAGAAGCTTCTGGAAATAAAGTTACACAGAAAATGAGTTAATTCACTGCATGGTCCTCGTCATGTACCACAGTCCCAATGAAAACCCTCTCACTTCTTCATCTGGTACCAGAAGCATCATAGAACATAGGATTCAAAAACAAAATGCTAATCCCAATTACCAGCTATTCCACATTTCTTATAGTTTTCCACCATAACATGAGACAAGTGAAAAGAGGATTGAGAATGTGCAGTATGCAATACAAGTCAGGACACTAACACTGCAGTATTTCCAGTAACAGGCCTGAGACTGGCGGCATGCTCTAGTTGTTTCCATGCCTCCTTCCGCTTCTCTGCTGCAGAGGTCAAGATTGTTTCTTCCTCCTTAAAGTGATTATGACAATAAATGAAGAGCTTTTCATCCATCTCCAAGAACATCTTTCTAATATTGTGAGTTAGGTTGACAACCGCCGGGTTCCAATGGCCTTGAACATTCCTATCTAAAGCTGGAAAGACGATGGGCAGGATCACTTGCCGGTTATGTGCAATCAAGTTGACAATGTGATCATTGTTCCATAAGAAAAGGGCCCTTTCAGCTACCTGCAACAATCAATGTTCGATAGACACAGAAAAATGTATCATTCAGCAATTAACAAGCTGGTTAATGGCAACAAGCGCCAAAAAAGTTACAAGTTCATTAAGGAACAAAAATAGCTTCATTTCCTCAGGGGTTTAAAAAAAGAAAGGAATTTATGGAAAATATAACGCCCAGTACAGACAAGTGTTGTTTATCCTCAATCCCATGAACGTTTGAGGTCCAACTAGAAATTTCAAACTAACTATGGATGACAACACAAATTGCTTTCATATCTTCCTTAGCCACAAACTTGTCCAAACAAGATCTCTGTTTTATCTTTTAACACCAAAGTAAAACCCATTTAGACTATCTCCCTATTAATCTTTTATGCTTACACTCCCGATCCACAGTGAACATTTGTTAAAACATAAAATAAATGTGCACAAATAAACATAAATCTTGTGAGATGAAGCCAACTCCAAGTTGTTCCATCATCGAGTACAGTTCCTCTTTTAAAAATCAATAAAAAGACACATGACCTAGTGTCTCAGAAAAATCTAAGTTTAAACTTCCAATACGACCATCTAAGTTATTACTACTATAACATAATTCCACATCCGTAGCTGAGCTACCAGCTTACATCACATTCACAAACAACTGTTTTCTCAAAATCTTAAGCACGTGAAAACCTTTGTTGGGTAGACAACGTTGAAACTAAATACAGCTATTTAACTGGAATACCATTTACAGTACCATTAATATTTAATTAAATGTCATTAAATCTTACACAGAATTTGCTTCATAAAGAGGGTATTAGGACACAAATTCTACGGAAGCATTTTATTCAAATATGGAAAAAGAAGGAAGAAGTCCAAGAAAAAGTAAAAGAACTAATCCGACCACATTGCATGACAAATATGCTTGAGCTTTTCAAGCATTTGTCTACATTTCCATACTCAAAATATATTACAAAATAAGAAAGATATTAAAGTCTGTAAGAAAGATTGTACTGTACGTTAATAGAAATAAAAGCTGCCAGAACCAGTAAGTGAAAGAAAAAATATAGAAGCACGCAAAAGATGCAACAAGGATCTATTTCTTTTAAGTTAAAAATTAACACAAAACTAGAAATGTGCAAATAATGAGGATTTACCAAATGAATTCAGTACAACAATTTTACCTGAAAGTGTAAGCTGTTTATGCAGCATCCAATCCGCCAAAACAAAGGAACCATGATCCTCTGGAACTCTACCATGTTAATTACTTCCAAAATTTCTTCCAGTTCACCCAGAAAGATCACCTCTTTCTGACTATTTGTTGCTGGCCAATATTTCAACAAGCCCCTTATGACAATGCTCGCTAACTTGGGCTCCTTTTCTATAAACTGCATAACACAGTAGGACAATTGCTGAAAGTAGACCGCAATTGATTTCGGCTTGTGCAAGGGGACCAAAACTCTCCACAAGAAGATTTTATGTTCCTCTTTCAAGGGTAAAGCAAACCCAGTAATCACACTCCCAAAAATTTCCAACAACTCACCAATCCCACTGTGCTTCTCAGTCTCAAACACAAACCGATAAAATATGTTGTTAATAGATTTCCGAATATAGGGTCTATGCACCATGAACTTCCCATAAATCCTATGCAGAATTGCCTTCAAGCAATCCCTTTCCCTAGGATCCTCCGAATCAAACAACTCAAGCAATCTGGCAATAAACGAATGATCAATATACTTTTTCGCCACCTTCGCATCGAGGCACGAAGAAGAGATAAACTTGAGCAGCAATTCATACACAAGTTGCAAATGTGGCCATGCAGGATCAAACATAGGTTCATCATCATCATTTTCACCACCACATGTCCTATAATTAGGAGGGAAAACTCTAAACAAATTGAAAGCACACATTCTACACAAAGCAAGGATAGCAGGTTCACTAAACTTCATTGTCCCACAAGCCACAAAATCAACAAGCTCAACCAAAGTCTTTCTTTTCACATCTTTATCTGCAACGCTCTTACTAGGGTCACTGAAATCAAACGTTACACAACAAAGGCTCAACTTGCTCACGAACAGGTTCATCTTCTCAGCATTAGCAACATCCTTAAACGGCACCAAAGGTTCAAATCCGGACACCATGCTCGCCGGAAACACCGCCGATGACGAAGCTCGCTTCGCAGCGGTGGAACTGCCGCCATGTGGTCTTTGGATTTTACCGGCAACGCGTGGCGAATCGGCTGAAAGCCCGGAGTCACCCCAAGACGACTCGTCCGAGTCGGGTTTCAACGACTTCCGAGGAAGCTTGCTGAGGATTTGCTTGAGCATTGCGACCAAGAAGCTGAAATCAACTGTTTACGAACCTATCAGCCGAAAATCGAACCCATGAAGGAAGAATCGGAACCAGTCGAACTGGAGAGTGTTGATTTAATCAAAAGTTTTGAAAAGGGAAAGCAGAAACCCTAGATCTCGATCACAGGAAAATCCGAGCAATGGGGTGTGTCCCGTGAAATTGAGATCCGCAGTTGAAACGGGTTTGCGGAAATTTTCGATTTTGCATTACACATTGATGGAAAAACCAAATCTTAAAGGTTGGGGTTTGTTGGGAAAGAAGAACATCAACCAAAAGATGAGCCAGTAGAGAAAGAAAAAAGGTGAAACGTCGATAACAAAAAGAAGTGAAAGATAATAAAAATAACACTAATGAGAAGTTTAGCTTTGAACCAAAGAATCTCACATTCTCTGAACACAATTGCTTCAACTTTTGTTGGGATGCAGAGAGAGAAAGAGAAAAGAAAGATGAGGTTGATTGTGAGAAAGGTGATAGCTTATTAGGGTAAGCAAGATAGTGAGTGCGGTTGCAGTGACAATGGAAGCTATGCAGAGATTTTGAGTCACTGAGAGAAATCACTGTGAGCTGTTTCTAGATTCCTATTGTTACTGATCTATCTTGTGAAACTCAGGAAAACAACGGGAAAGGGGAATAGTAAAATAAACACGGTGGTATTATTATTATTATTATTTTATTTATTATTATCCCATACAAACCAACCTCACAATTTAACTATATTTATTTAATTTTTTTAATTTAAATTTTTAATACATATGTTACATTATTAAAATGTTATTTTTCAATGAGTGAAATAGAATGAGCTTATATGTTTCTTTTAGTTGTAATAAATTTATAAAAGTTACTTTTGGTATATTTAATTTCTAGTTTTGAAAATTATTTTATATAGTAAATTTTAGAAGTTAAAAATAGTATCCGTGGAGAGCAGAAAAATATTTAATAAAACAAAATGTTTTGCTTTTTGTTTTTTAAATTTTAATATATTTGTTTAAAATAAAGTATATAGATAATAAAAATGAAATAAAATATGATAATAAAGTAATTATTTTATTATTACAATTATGCAATTAAATAAATAATTAAATATAATAATAAAATAATTATTTTAATTTTAAAAACTTTTATTTAAAAGTGAATACCACAGTTATTCTTTATGTATAAAAAATAAAAGTCAACTATCAAAATATACATACATATATATATATATATATATATATATATATATATATATATATATGTGTGTGTGTATATATATATATAAATATAACATTGTTTGAGTTAAGTACAGAAAATAAGAAGTGGTATTATTTCTTTCATCAATAATTTGTTTATTTTATTATTTATTATTTTAATTATTTATTGTATTAAAAAATAAAAATTGATGATCACCTTATCACAAGTGATTATAAATATTAAATATTAAATATTAATACAATTGATTATATTATAGCTGTCAAAACGAGCCACCCGGCTCGACCCGCCCCGATCCACCATGGATTAGT